CCGTGATTCAAAAACGACTTCTAAACATTTTCTAACACCTAGAGCTTTATCCTTTACAATTAATAATCGTGTGCACTTGCACTGGTGAAGATTGGCATTTATTATTACTACTTTATTAAATATTTCTGCACTCAGTACTTATTAATGACATGATATAATAGCAATAGTTTATCATTGAAGATAGCATTTTAGCCTTACATTCCTTTGTATAAAAATAGGATAGATAGTAAAGTACTGGTCTCTGTTTCTCACTTATTATATTCTGTTTGATTTCCTATCATTTCTGTCCTTGCCAAAAGCATGCTTGACATTGTAACAGTACACCACATGTCTTGTCAATGAACAGGGTTCTTTAGTTCCATATTTAAATTCCTCCTCACTCTTTTTGGTGCCACCTCTTAAATCTTGCTTATTTTAAAATCCCAGCATTTAAATTCCTTAATCTGATTTAATACATTAGAGGTTTAATTCTCATTTAATCATTGGTATCACACCAACTCCACATATTTAACTGTATTATTTTGGTTTTACCAGCTTTATACTGTATTTTGTGATTTGAAAAAGACCTTTCATTGTTCACAGGTTTAGCTTTCTTAATGGATTGAAATATAATCTCTGCTAAAGTTTGTTATTAAATTACCTGGGAAGTTGGCCATTATCTTTTTCCTTTTTTTCCACGAGAGATCAACTGATTTTAAGTTTCACCTTTTGCGGAAAATCTCTATAATCACCCCTGTGCTTGCATCTCCTTTGACTTCTTCAGTAATACGCTGATTGCTGTGGCTCTGTCATGTTTCTTTCCCCAGATCTTTAGGAATTGGAAGACTGGCTCTCATCTGCTTCATTTTATGTTGGGAGTTTTTTTCCTAACGTTCACTCTGGAGCTCTGAAGCCTCCTTAAATCCACACTGTACAGAAGAACATTGGGTTTACTCTGATTTATCTCCAGCACAGCTTTCCTAAAATCAGCAGGCTGTTCACACTATTTCAGATTTCTATCTTTAAGAATCAACCGATAGTTTGACACCTTGAGTTCACTGATAATCAATTGCAGACGTGCATCAATTTTCTAACCTCTTTATCTAAAGCAATTGATGGGGAGGCTTGAGATTTACCTAGCAAGCAATGGGCGCAAGGCAGCATACACCCTGGATGAGATGCTAGTTCATTGCAGGGCACACACAGGCATGCACGCACTCACACCATGGACCAAATAACCTAGAGGCCAAGTAACCTACCAGTATGTCTTTGGACTGTGGAAAGAAACCATTTATTGTCAAATAAATTTAACATTTTTAAAATGAGTAATGGAGTAATTGCACCACTTAATGCTTAACCTACTTAATGCTAACTTTCGGTGTGACTGTGGTAACCATTCCTTGTTTTCTGTGTTGTTTCCGACCGTTATTATCGGAACCAATTCAGATCTGTTTTGCCACACATGAGTATTGAAAATATATGTTTTCACAGGGGTGGCACAAGGGTGTAGTTGTTAGCATAGCTGCCTTGAAGTGCTGGGGCCCTGGGTTCAACTCCAGACCTGTGGTGCTATCTGCGTGGAGTTTGCATGGTCTCCTCCTGTTGTTGTGGGTTTTCTCTGGGTGCTCCGCAATCCAAAAACATACTGGTAGGTTAATTGGTTTCTGGGAAAACTGGCCCTGGTGTGAGTGTGTGCACATTTGTCTCTGTGTGGCATCCCATCCAGGGTGTATCCTGCTCTGTGCCCGTTGCTTCCCGAGATAGAATAAGTAGTTAGAAAATGAATGGATGGATGTCTTCATAGTGCATTCGCCCAGTCCCCCACAACTGTTATTCATATTTAAAGGGACTTCTGTCACACAGTTTCTTTCTTCTGGATAGGTTCCTAATCTGTCTCATTGAGAAAATGTGTATTTCTAGGTGGCTCATCTGAAGAGGCCCGTGCCAGGAGGGTTCGAACTCGGGAGCTGGTACACTTCAGCTGCCGTCCTGCTGACTTGAATGGGCCTGAGAGTCCCAAGGGAGGCAGCCAGGCTGCACAACTGCAATGTTGTGTCTGGCCAGCTGCCAGCAGTGTCACAGGGTGCAAGTCAGAGCTTCAGGTTGGTCTCGCTGCTTAACAGAGGAAGATCCTTTCTTTGTGATTTCCTCCAAGCCAAGGCAGCACATTTGTAAGCATTCCAAGTATGGATGTTTGAAAGTACAATGCATATGTTATTTATATGGTTGGTATTCTTCATTCAAGTTACTAATATTACATTAGTGGCTTGTTCACTATTTTGGGCTAATTAGTAAACACACTGTGATTAAAGTGTGATGAGAAAGACAAAAACAAGAGAGGGTGTTACAGAACGGTGAATATTCCTTCTTTTTTCTTTGGTAATTATGACCAGACTTTGCATATGTACCTTCTGTGTCTGGAATGTGAATATGCTAGTCTATTCATGTTAACAGATGAATCTGAAGTAACACTCAGGGAAATTATATTACCTTCAGTTACTTTTTACACATCCCACTTATTCTACCCAAAATTGTTTTGGGAAAGTCCCCATTATCACAGCCTCTCCAATGTATGGAAAGATAATCAGATGCAACTAGAATTCTATTGTCTGTTTTTCTGTTTTTTACATTAGTCTCTCTTAACGAGCAAATTCAGTTTGATTTTTCTGTATTCCTTGCATGAATCACTTTTCAGGTTAGATATGTAAGAAATAGAATTGGTGCCTTAAACGTACAGTAATTACATGATTCACCATTTAAGTATACTTTGTGGGTATTCAATATGTGGCATTATGGGAACATACTTTTATGTATTCTGTTGAATAATACATTAGTTTCAGCTTTTTAAAGCAATATATTTTAAAGTTCAAACAAATAATAGAGTGGGGGGTATAGATAACACTCATTGTAATAACATTTGTTATTCTATCATTAAATAACTAAATTTACCATTAAAAACCTCTTTTTTAAAACAATTCAATAAATTGTGCCATGTGTAATCTTGAAATATCCATTTTATTAGAAGGGGATGTGAAACTTTATTATTTAGATTTAAGATCAACCGTTAAAAGAAGATTTATGTCTACATTTGAATATTTTGCCTATAGCAAACTATCAATTGGGCAGGAAAGATCATTGCATTTACAAACATGGAACAGAAGAACAGAAGTCAGCATTGCAGCACACGAGCCCTGGGTTCAGTTCTGGACCTGAGGTGCTGTCAGTGTGGAGTTTGTATGTTCTCCCTCTGTTCTTGTGGGTTTCCGTCTCAATACATACTCGTCAGTTAATTGGCTTGTGTGTGTGCCCTACAATGGACTGCTGACTTATCCAGGGTGTACCCTGCCTTGCGCCCGTTGCTTGCTGGGTTAGGCTGTGGCCCAGTATTAAATTGAAAAAAGTCAGAAAATGGATGTAACAGAAGGTGTGAAACTTCAGGTTTTTGTTTTGTACTGCTGCCCTGTTTTGTACTCACCAACAAGGCCTACAGTGAGGTATTTTTTAAAGACATTTAAGGTCTTAGTGTAACATTATCGTAACATACAATTAAGCAGAATGAAACACTTCACACTGCCTGCTTTTTCCAGATGTGATGCAGTTTATGCCTGTGTGCGTATATATATGTATTCTATTTGTCTATTTTGTTAAAGCGCCTTTCCACGCTGCGCGCACGGCTCACTGCACCTGCGTGCTCTCCACGCCACGGTTCTGCTTGAGTAAACACTCGCTCCAGCCCAGGGCCCTCCTCTCCCACAATGCAACAGGCAACAAAGGCAGAGGAAGCGAGCGACGGAAAGAGAAGGGGAAAAAAAGTTTAGACATGATTGACAAAGCCCTAGAGAACTGAAGCAGAAAGGGCTCTGGGCTAGGAATGACCACTGTAGTCATACTCGGACAGAAAAAGATCATTTTAATGTTCTCGTCCAAGCGCAGCAGGAATCTCGGGCGGCCGGTTTTGTGTGTTTAGTTTGTGATCCACTCCGTGTGTTCAGAACAGCACTGAGGTGCGGAGGGGAGGGGAGGGAATGAAGGTGACTAGGAAATGTGATTTAAATGTGATTTAAACCTTCGGGAGGTTTTATTCAGAACGCGGCCTGTGGGGAAAGTGGGAATCCGGAAGGGGGAAAGCTGGGTAAGTATCAGAAAGAAGAGTAAAAAAAAAAATCCTAGATTGAAAGAAATGCTGCGTTTCTGTGAGTTGAGTGAGTTTTGTGGTGGCCGTGGGTGATTCTCCCGGTGGAAACCCGGGATAAACAAAGAAATGCAAGTGTCGTTTTGGGTTTTTTTTTTTAGAAAGCCAGACGTTAATCGCAGACAAGTTTAGTTTTCTACTCGCGTTTCATGCTTGACTTGCTCGGAGACGGTACGTGAAGGCAGCTGGCAGGGGATCCTTTGTTGCGGCCTGTGGGTGTTGAGCCAAAACTTGGGTTTGTCCGTGTAAGGTGCTTCATCTTCCGAAAATCCAAACAAAAACAGAGACCGAGACCATATCGCATCCCTTACGTGTGTCCGTCCACTTCAGCGGGTATTGATTTTGTTTTCAAGGCCACTGGCGGGTCTGATCGGAGGATCCCTCTGCGAGCCCCTGTCTTCCAGCTCGCCTTCGACTCGAAATCGAGCCCCGGGCTCCACCGGTCCGTGGGCCCGACCTGCGGAGAACTTGGGGGTTAGTGTTCAGGTTATTCCTTCCCGGCTGGTAATATTACTCCTTGCAAAGCTTGTACGTTTAAATGTGATCGCTTACACGGTTACCAGGAATCTGCTGTGAGCTGCCAAGCTGTTTTGTACAGACCTCTGTGTTTGACATGTGATGGATAACTTTTACCAAAGGCGTAGATAAACAACGATAGGAAATTAAGTTAGAGAAACACCATTTATTTTTAATAAAATATTTTTTTAATAGTCGGGTGTTTAAGAATAAACTGAGCCCTTTTCATAAAGTATGGGCCTAGTGATCTGTATACTCTATGCATTCGGCTCTGCCAAGTCGCCATACTTTTAAAGTTGTGAAGCTCTCTTTTTTTCTCCTATTCTTTTTTTTATAATCGTTACTTTTTTATAATTCGGTAATCTCTCGATCACATTAAAGTAAGATTTAATAATAATGCGCCATCCCAGACTGCTGTAGCTGATTACTGGCATGTTTTTTTTTAAAGATCGGTGTGTTTTATTATCTTGTCGTCATGTAACATCAGGCTCATTTCCACTTAAAATACTAAACGCCACTTGTGTTCAGAGTCATGTTTTAAATTAGCCAGCGTCCGAAGCAAGTGATTTATTTCCTGGTGTCAAGTAACAAACCAAAAAGGGACAGGATTTTGCAGCTTAATCTCTTTTATACCAGGAATGACATTTATTTAACTAATTTTAATAAACGGTGAAAACCCGCTCTAGTAAAATTGTATTAAATGATTCACTGCACTTTTAAATTCAGGCTTGCACACGCTTTGAATTATCACATGAGAAGTGGTTAAAACAGGGTAAATCCACTCACTCTTGTTTATTAAATCTGTGTTCATGCTGAAGCAGGGAAAAATGCTGACTTAAGTATGCAGAGTAAGAAGAGTGTGGAGCATAACCTTGGTTTTAACTAATTTTGATTACTTTGCAAGTTGGAAGTTTGTTGGTCAGCACAGTGATAACTTAAGGTGTGTGTTTAATTGATTTGTTTATACTGATTAAAAAATATCCCACAGATTTAGTAAGGCTCTTTTACTTCAAGTGAAGAATTTGTGTTTTCCACACACTATTGGTTTTAACATCTCAGTGGCTTTTAGAATGAAAGAGCCCTGTGGTTGGTTTTCTGTGCGCGTTAGAGCAGGTGTTCCCAATCCTGATGGTGGAGGTCCACACACCTGGTTTTTGTTCCAGCCATGCTCCGTTACACAGTGAATGCTAAATTGCTTTAATAACATATCGGTTTAAACTGTTTGATCACCTTCGGTTCTTACACATTTGGGGTTGCCTTCTTACTAACGGTGAAATCGTTAATTCTTTTAAAGCTTCAGTTAGGTAATGATCTCAGCTGGAATGAAAACCGGCAGGTGTCCTGACCTCCAGGATCGGGATTGAGATCCCCTGCGTCCGAGCACTGCTTCCCAATCCCCAATCCCGGAGTGCCCCCATGCTTGCTTGCTTTTTCTTTCTTTCCCTAAAACTAAAACCCCGGCAGAAAAGTCAAAAAGCAAGCAGTTCAGATAAAGGTTTGTTAAAAATAATCAAGATCGTGTTACAATGAATGCTAGGTATCCTAGCGTTGGGACGCACTGAGACGTATTCCTAGATTACTATATTTTGTTGTCCACGTTTTTGTGTACTATGAACGGTATTACCCTTTCCCTGTTTTGCCCTTCAGTAGAGTTTGCTTCTCTTTCTGTAAAACAGCAAGTTTGGACTAAAAATTGCAAATTGATTGTTTTAAGATTAATCTGTCGGATATATGGTTGTGCAAAACACTCTGCGGGACATCTGTAAACACTTTAAAACCAGAAGTAAAACACCATTTTTTATTAACATGTTGTGGCATATGGAGAAATAGAACTGCTGAGAACCTGAATGCTCCCAGTTTCACTTCAGGTTTGAGGTGAATGATCGGATTTCTGAAATAAATTTCAAAAGTGTTGGTCAGCTGCTCAGTTTTGCAAACGCCACAGTTTTCTCGGACAGCAGCAAACTTTTCATATTACTCTCATGGTGGTAGCTCTGTTATCAGGATTTTTTTTTAACATTTTAGGGACAGACCTGGATTTGGTTTTCCTATCCAGTGTATTTCCTTCGAGTTAGACTTTGTTGCTGTATACACCCAAGCTGCTGAGTGTTTATTACACCAAATGATTTTACAGTTCAGGGGAAGCAGTTATTGGTTTCAGTGCTGGCTGTGAGACTTTGGTCACATCTGAAATACGTCAGCTGTAGATGCTGGCTACATAAGTATTGTTTCTGCGGAGGTGTGGTTCATTAGAAATCATTGCATTTTCGGACGTACGGCAGAATTAACATGGAGATTTAATTAATTTTTTACTTGGGCAAATGGGTGGAGCAGGGGTTGGGTAAGTTTGGTTTCCTCTCAACCTAAGTGTGTTAAATTATTAGCACATGCATCTCCTCATGGCTCATGATTTGTAGCTGCCTGCATCTGTCAACCTCACAGTCAGTCTTCATATTTACATTTAAGGTGTTTTGCAACTGTGCTGAGGGGAAGGACTCATTTTTTGCAGGCTTTTACTCATGTGATGTAGTTCCTTTTCTGGTATGTTGAGAAACATAGAGACTTACAGCTCTGGGACAAACCATATGTACACCAAGGAAGGTTATTTGTGTGTGGCCAGTGTTCTTTTGCTGAAACGCGTTGCATTTTAAGTAGAGTATGTTTTCATAAATGGACAGAAAAAATATTTTGACTGGATGCTGATTTTTATCCTGTTAAATGGAAGGGATGTGTGTTGCTGACATAATTGGTGTATTGGGTACTTCTTCATTGCAGGTGTATTGTATAAGTAGACACCAGGGTTCTCCCTTCAGAAGGCCTTTATGATGTAGCTGTCTTCCAGGTGCTTCATCCTCACACTGAGAAACAGATACAAGACCATTACTTTACCAGCCCATTACTCTAAAGCACTTAAGCGGTGGACAAAAACAAACATAGCCCTCCAGGAGTGATAAGCCAGCTTTTGCAAGGGTCGTGTTTCAGACTAAGCTGTCCAGTGGAGATGTTGTGTTCACATCTCTTCTGGCTTACATTACAGTGCTGTGTTTGGAATATTTAATATGGCTACTGATGACAGAAAGTCCCATTTTTAAAAGTCATCAACAGTAGGTGCAGTACACACAGAGACAGTGTCCTGTGGTATACAGTGACATTTGTATAGACAGGAATGTAGTTTCTGGGCCTTACGAAATGTGTTGTGGTTTTCCTCTGTACCGGTGGACATCAAGTAGTCTCAGATCAACGTGAAGTAATGCACATCCTCAACGTGATCAAGTAAGGAGTAATGGTAAATGATTTTCTTTGCCTCTTTATTTTGTCATAAAAAAGTACAGGTGGAATGTTATTAGGAACTTGAAGCTGAGCCTAAAGATTCTCTTATAAAGAGATGATCTACGTTTTACTCTTGGTAGTGGATCACAATTAAAGCTGCACTTTAATTTTTAGTTGTCTAAAACAGATGCTTAGAATATGAAAAGAACAATTTTCCTGCTAGTGTAATGTAAAACACTTGTTTTGCCTTAGTTAAAACAATCTTGAAATTGTCTGGGATGAGGAAGGGAAATGGAGACCCTGCTGGGAATCCTAGGTGTAGATCCTGTTAATTATTGACATCTGTGCTGTGGGTCCACAGTAGAACAGTGTTCATTGCTTTGTTTAACTGCATTATCAAACTGGCTTGAGCACTACAGTACAACACTTTAAGAAGGAATGTTATCCTAATATCTTCTGGTGTTGCATATTGCCGTAATGACTGTAACAATTTTAAAACTTTCATTTTGAAATGGTCTTTCAAATATGAAAATATGCAATTTGCAAAATGACTTTACTATTTTGTCACTGTTAATTTATTAAAAGATAGAGTAACGGAATTGACATTTTTGCAGTATTTACACTAAGATTTTATTGGCATGACTTACAACTTGATCATGCAAACAAAAGGGAAAACATACACCGGTAGTCCCCTTTGCTTTGAAAATTTTGAACTGCTGTACATTCATGACGTAAAGTGTTTAGAAGTTGGCATTAGTGCAGTAATACATTAAAAGATGTTTCCAAAATGACAGATGAAAGCTTCAGGAGGCTGAAATATACCTCCAGGCTTCTGGAAGTGTATTTCATTGTGTTCTCTGAAACACTGAAGAGGAAGAAGTAGAAATCATTAATACTATTTTGCAAGTTACCTTTTTTTCCCACAAAACCTAAAGTTGGAGCAGTAAATTGCTTAACCCAATAAACAGTATAATTGTTTTAGAAGTGTGAACACCCATGAGATATCACGACTGGGACTGTCCCAGAAAGAAAAAATCCAAGATGTGTGGTCACCTTAATTGTTTTTGTATGCTATCTGTAGCAGCAGGTCTGTTAACTGTTTAAACTGTAGTACAGCAAATCATTCAATGGATGAAGGCTAGGTTATGGCAAAGGATAATGCACACCTTGGAAAGCTATTTTTTGTATCTTAGTAATTTACTGTTACAAAGGACCGTCTTACAATAATTCAGTTCATATATTTAAATAACGATTTTATATTATTTTAGAAAGCTTAGGTATCGCTTGATTTGAAGCCTTTAGGAAATGTGATTTTTCTGGATGATGCAGAATCATTTTTGAGTTGAATCATGAGCACTTGAAAATAAAAAAAATAAATAATTCCAGGTCTACCCTCTGTTTAGTACTTTAGTTTTCAGGAGTGCTGATTTGAATGTAAAAAATAGATGCACAGGGAGCAGTGCTTAACAATGTTTTATTGCATAATTCATCAAAGGATTTTTACTAAGATCACCCCAAAAACCAAGGGATCAATTCCTGTTTTGGATGAGACTTAAAGCGTTACTGTTAAATCTAATGTTGGATTCAGTGCTAAATTATTAATGAGATTTGGAATACTCTGCAGAGATTTTTAAATACTGCTCATTGTAATAAAATAAACTTTTGCTGCTTCCAGGAGATTGTTTGGTGATCCTCAGTGGCTGCTAAGCTAATATAGTTGACAATAAACATATTATTCATTTTCTGAAGTTTTTGTTTTAAGGATCGTTTTGTGATAATTTTATGTATTGCTGTTTAGTACTGACCAGTGAATCATCACAAATGCTGCCACAGACCATAATTAGAAACTGTTTTAAAACTTTTCTGTGTATATAGTCTAAATCCTCATATGAACCAGGGATTGTTTAATTGGAGGGAGGCTTGCTTAAAGCATTCTTGAAAGTGATTTTGTTTCAAGAAGAGTGTGAGATAGATATTGCGTTTTAAGAAAAAACAAAAGTCCTGAAATAATGACAATTTTTAAAGGCAAGAGCCCAAAGGAGTAGTCGTTTCTTTGCTCGTGATTTGAAGTCTTCCAGTAGAAAGTACATTAAGAGGGTAAAAATGATTAACTTTCAACAAGCTACGTAAATGGACAATTAAATCCATACATTTCCATTTTTCCTGAAATTGTCACCTTTGTTTTCAAGATACACTTTTACGAATTATGAATGACTGTAATATATTGTGGCACATTCTGAATGTTTTTGCAGGGTTGAGAAGCTAATCCATTTTTTAAATGTGTTCTGTTTTAGGGGATGGCTGTTCCAGTGTTCACATGAGCAGCTCTGGATGACCTCATGAAATCCACAGCAGACTAACACCTTTTGAACGGCACGGGTGAAGACCGATCCCTACATCGGGAGGGACCTGCAGAATGAAGAAGATCAGCCTTAAAACGATTAGGAAGTCCTTCAACCTGAACAAAGGCAAAGAGGAGGGCGACTTTGTGGTGGTGCAGCAGCCGGCCTTGACTCCCGACTTTGTGAAAGAAGAGTCTATTTTCGGGGGTTGCTACAGCAAAGAGCTGGCGAGCTGCGACTTGAACGGCGACGAGGAGAAGGGCCATAAGAGCCGATCGAAGAGTGAGAGCCTCATGGGCACGTTGAAACGCAGGCTGTCCGCGAAGCAGAAACCGAAAGGCAAGGGGGGCTCGCCGGCGGTCAACTCGGCGGATGACGACGACACCTTCTCCTCTTCCTCGGCCCCCGTCGGCTTTAACGACGTGAAAGCCCAGCGCCCCCTGAGGTCTACCTCCCTCCGCAGCCATCATTACAGTCCCACGCCTTGGCCGCTCAGGCCGGCCGCCTCGGAGGAAACCTGCATTAAAATGGAAGTGAAGGTGAAGGCCTTGGTTCACTCGTCGAGCCCCAGCCCAGCTCTTAATGGTGTTCGCAAGGAGTTCCACGACCTGCAGATGGATGGGCTTTTCCAAGAGCAGAGCAGCTCCTTGAAGAACTCGGAGGCCCAGAATGGTGACTTGCATCTAAACATTGATGAGCACGTGCCTGTAGTTATTGGACTCACACCTCAGGACTATATTCAGTACACGATGCCTTTAGATGAGGGAATGTATCCTGTGGAAGGATCGCGCTCTTTTTGCCTGGATAGCTCCTCGCCCATGGAGGTGGTGTCTCAGATGGAAGGCAGCGCCCTTCATGTGGATGAAGGACAGGTTGACCAGGACCTCGTTATGTCTCCAGACATTTTCATAGACCCTTCAGTAAACGGACTCTTGATCGGAACCACAGGCGTGGTGCTTCAGAACCCGCGTGTAGATGCTCCGCCTCTTTCACCTCTGCTACCTCCACTCCCCAGCAGTCAGATCCAAAGGAACTTTCCGGGGTTAAGCGGTGCTGATGCCCAGGTTGCTGAAAGGGTACGACACCATTTAAATTTCGACCCGAACTCTGCCCCAGGTGTGGGAAGGGTCTATGATTCTGTCCAGAACAGTGGGCCGATGGTGGTCACAAGCCTCACGGAAGAGCTGAAGAAGCTTGCCAAACAGGGTTGGTACTGGGGCCCTATAACGCGCTGGGAAGCTGAGGAGAAGCTGGCCAACTTGCCGGATGGGTCATTTTTAGTGCGCGATAGCTCTGACGACCGTTATCTCTTAAGCCTGAGCTTTCGGTCACAGGGTAAGACTCTGCATACTAGAATTGAACACTCAAATGGAAGATTCAGTTTTTACGAACAGCCTGATGTGGAAGGTCACACCTCCATAGTAGACCTAATTGAACATTCTATCAAAGACTCCGAAAACGGAGCATTCTGCTACTCGAGATCCCGCTTGCCGGGATCTGCAACTTATCCTGTTAGGCTGACAAACCCTGCTTCAAGGTTTATGCAAGTGCGTTCACTACAGTACCTGTGCCGATTTGTCATTCGCCAGTACACGCGGATAGACCTGATTCAGAAACTGCCTTTACCAAACAAAATGAAAGATTACCTGCAGGAAAAGCACTACTGACAATGCTAATGGAACTTACTTGCAACTTGCACTTTGGGAACAGTAATAAATTGTAAAATGGTTTACAAACATTCATAGGTATAAAAATGTTTGATGCCATTATTACACTTGTTTCTTTTAGAAAAAGGTTTGGTTTTTGTTGAATTGAGCAAAGGATTTGACCGTCGCTTAAGCTAGGAAAGTTCAGATTTGTTGTTGCTCAGATTTGGCTGTTTATACAGGAAAAATAAATTGTATAATTTTATTTTCAGTTGGCCTGGATTTCTTTATAGGTAGATCACATGCATGCGGATTGAGTGACTTTCTGCATGGCATTTTGTTTTGACAGACATGATAAATTAAACCTGGAAGGGCAATTCTGTAGTCCATATGAAGAAATGACCAAAGCACATGGGAATGTTGTGTGTAGCTTGAACAGGACGTTTTACGCAACGCTGTGTATTACAACATATGGTGAACTATAGGAATGCACAAAATAAGCGTACATCTTTTGGTGTATTTTCAGATTGTTGTTCTTCCATCGTGGATTTAATCCAGCCAGTCTAGCATGTTTTGTCTGTCCTCTTGAAATCAACAGCTGGAGACCTTTGAAAACCATTACATTGGTTCAGGTAGACAGAGCAGGAGGTAAAGTAGCTGAGAGCACAGGTGGAATGAGCAGGTGAAGACACTGCAGCACTAAAGGAGAAGGGCAGTTGAGCAATGCCAGGGTGTAGGGAGCATCTGGTTTGTCCAGTCATTAGCTCTGCTTTTATGCTTATTTTTTTTCCCCTGGAATTTCATTCTAATGTTATATCAGTTAAATAAGCAGTGTGGTGGCATGGTGTATTTCTGAGTAAAAACTCTAATTTGCTCTTGCTTTCTTTCAGACCCTTTCTAATATGTATTACTTCAACCCTCTTCTCATTGCATTTAAAAGTTCATGACAGTAGGGTTAGTGAATATTTTTTCTTCCATAATTCACTTATTTGGCCATCAGATAGGAGCTAACACAGGCATGGGTTAAATGTAAAAACTTACCTGTGATGAAAATACTTTTAAAAAAAAGCTGTGGAACAATAGCTAACAGCTAAAACAAAAGCTTAATAGCTATGATGAAAATATTATAATTGAATAGTTGCAAATTTATGAGAAACGTAGGGAGTTGAGGCAAATTCAGATGTTGGGGAGGGGAGATTGTGCAGCTTAATTGTCATTTTAAACAGTCAAAACAGTCATCAAATGTGCTGTATTTTCAGCATCAAGAATGTGCAGAAGGTTTGACTGATGCAAATGTAGGTAAAATGAAGGAAAAGCATAGTTTTGAAAATCTAACACTTAAAATATTTCAAAACTTAAGACTGTTTAAGTTTGTTAACATTATAATGAAATGTTAACTTAATGCTACAATATGGTCATGCATTTGAACCTCTAGCGCATCAACTCTTGATTGAAAATATGATCAGATTATTCATAAAGCGTAAAGAGACAGAATATTATCGGTATACTGATTTTTGTACCATTCAGTATGGACTGCTTGTGGTTGGATATTGACCACAGAAGCTGGGCTGTCACATTCAGTCTTAGACTAACTGCTTACATTATGGAAGCTGATTTTAGAAAGCAAATGCATTTACCAAGCCAACACTATATGACTACACTGCGGTTTTAACGTATTGCAGATGATTTTAGATAAACACTTTCCAGACTGTTTCTTGACTTCCAAATAATTTTCATCTCTTAATAAAACTAATTTATTAATGATATTGAAATGCAGTTGTTTGGATTATATATTTAATCAACTTTTCTTGATGTTTAATCACATTTAGATTAAATGTTTGTATATTTGGCTCTGCCTTAGGGGCTTCTGTTCTCAATTTAGTTTTCTGTGTAAAGTACTAAAAAATGGGCCGATAACATTTCATTTACTAAACATCAGTATTAAGAAGTTTTACAAGGAATCATTTGAATTTGCCTAGAGCACCACTGATATGCTATTATTGAATTAAGCGGAGAGGATTATTATGGTTTCTGCTCAGTGTCCAGTCCTGGTACTGTATTTTTTGCGGTTTTAATTAAATGACATAGAGTTGTAAGTAATCTTCGCAAAGTCTGAAAACAACTTGTGCCTATTGGTGTTGCATTTTTAATTACAGTATATATTGGCTTATAGCTCAGACCTTTGATGATGTGTGCTCTGCAACTCTGCAGAACTTCGGTCTCTAATGCTGAGGTACCTATGCAAGCATTTCACTTCACATCCTTTTGACTTTCCTCTCACATTTCCCTGTGAAACGTCTGTGGAAAAATCTGTGCAACAACAAATTCAGAAATTTGAATTTAGTTTAAATTGTCAGTGCTGCAAAGTGGTTTTTTGTTTGGGGATGTGTGGTCTCTTATTTCTAAAAAAAATGGCATATACAACTTGACAAATTTAGATTTTTTATGTGAAAGATTTTTATGTAGGGATTTGTTAAATTATAGACGGATTCATATCTTTTTTTCATTCTGTAGTATTTTGATAATCAAATGGACAAGACTGCTTCTTTTGAAAGCTGGTGTACTCATCATCCACTTAGGTTTCTTAGATCATTCAAAGAGGCTTTCTGCATTAGCTCAACCAGATTAATAGATGGGCACATCTTTGTTTTTGTTTTAACTGAAGTATTTCTCACAGTTACATGTTACAGATTCTATTATCAGTTTGTGTAGTCTGCAGATGTATCCAAAGATGGCTTATTGTAGTGTTACTGTTTCAAGAATAAACATAAGGTATTTAGGCATTTCTGCATGGCATAAGGAATCAGCACTGCCATAAATGAACAGTATAGAAATTGGTGAAAACATGGGTACCTTGCACATCGTTTGCATTCCTCTCATTAACTTCGTGAAAGTTTGAAATGCCTTTGTTAGACACACTGTTTCTTCACTACCATGTAGCATTGCTGAGATAAAAATCAATTCAAGAGCATATCATTTGAAAGGGAAGAGCATTGTACTCACTCAGAGGTGTTTTACAAGGGAACCTTTATATTCAAATCTTTTTTCCCCCTCTGTAAACTTCTTAGAAATTTCTAAAACGTTTTTCTTTGTTTTGTTCCGAAAACATAGAGGCTAGGAAAGTAGTTGGAAACGAATCATCACAGACACTTGAGAACACACTCTGGGTGTCTTAGCTGTGGTCTCGAGAAGGAAAAATTGATTGACACTTCTCATAGGAAAAACTTTTTGTCAGCTCAGAAGGTTTTTGTCAGTGTTGAGTGTCTTTATTGTGAGGCCTTGAAGCCAAGACAGGGAACCCCAGAGCTGCAGGTTATGCTGAAGGAATGAGAAGGAAGGAGCTGAATTTGCGAGTTAAGGAGCTTTATTATATATTGCTTCTGGGTATGTGCTGAAGAATAATGTTTTATGGAAGTATGTGTACTGGCACAGAGATAATATTCAATTATCACATGTCCAGGGGCAGCTTCAGTGCGTCTCTGAATAAGCTGTGGTGTTAATCTCTGCACAGTAAAAGGGACAGTGAAGCATTATGGGATGGCATTGACATGGGGAAAGGTATGAAACTATTAGGAAATGCAACAATAAGTGTACTGTAGTCATAGAGGAAAATAATACCTTGAGCAGAAGTCTAAAGTCAGATGGCAAAAGTGACAGCCGTTTGTCAAGGATAACCAGCTAAATGAGCTGGTCTCCATGGTCTTCCAGCTCTTATTCATTCAAACATTTGTGGTTTAGAAAGATGGGCTTAACACCAGATGTCACTAGTATGTACTAATATGGCGCACATTGGAAACTATAAGAACATGTAGAGTTAAATTATATTAAGAAAGGTTAAATGCATTCTGTCCCAGTATTAATTTGTGTTAAAGCTCTTTTTTTTTCTTGTAGGTTGGACTGAAATATAAAAGTGTTCCTGGTATATATTGCAATATTGTTTTTCTGCTGTGGTTTTCCAAATACTTCAGTGGCTGGTTGCAAGGATTTGCAAGTAATTTTAAAAAGGATTGTTTTTGCCTTGTACATGTTAGATATTCCATGGTGTTGCTTGTTGGAAAAGCTGAAGCGTAATTAGTGTAATGGTGTAAAGCACTTAACAAGCTTCACCTCGGTAATTTTATTTTCATATGCGTTTTATTTTGATGGACTTCATGCTGTGAGTGAAAGTTTACATTATATTGTATACCATATTTTTTCCCATTTGTTTTTTTCCCACATATGACATTTTGGTACCGTTTTTTAATTGTTTCTGATGTGTCTTACACATTTTGTGCTGCTTGATTCTTTTTTTTTAAATGATTGCCTTCTTATTCTAAGAGATGGTGGGGGGAGTCAATAAAAATGTACATACAACTTACATTGGTTGTGATCTTGGGAAAATCAGATTGGTGTACATTTTGTGAAACAGTTAATATGATGGTGATTATCATTACGGATCATAGATAGGAATAAAGAACACTTAAGTTTACATTTTATTTTTTGTTCAGCAAGTTGTCTGACTACATCAGAGTGTGAATTATCCAAAGTCCATTTTTTTCTATTTTGTTTCAGAAAGGATCTATACAGATTTCTTGCACATTTTTGAAAACAGTTTAAAAGGGTTTTTTGTATCTGTTGATACAAAATGTAAATAAAAGTCTTATTCACATTTGTATTGTAGAAATGTCTTTATTTCTGATATTTAAACCCTTACCCTGATTATACATGTTTCTCTGGTGTATATATAGATGAGAAATCTTAACTGTGGTTATAACAGCATCATAATATTGTAAATCATACATTCTAAAGTACTGCTCTAGAGATTAAGACATAAACTATCTCAGTCGCTGAGCTTAATTTTTGTTTCCTGGAAATTTGGGAGATGTGGCTTCCAAGTTGTCTTTTAAATTGGAAGCAACTGTTAATGTAATAGGTGATGTTGCACACAAGCTTTAAATTAGAATAAGACCTTTCAGGCTGAAAATCTACACTGGTCTTCCTAAACAGCTGAGAACTGTTGTCCGAAATGTCCTGAAACATATTTTTCATCCTTTAAACTTTTGAGTATGTTATAAAGGCTTCTTTTATTTCTGCCGTATGGTGCACCTCAACCTGTGTCCTATCTGTGGGAGGTAATGAGATAGATCATTTGAGTTTGGAAAAGAAATCTGTGAAGGTAAGTAGTCCCTTCTGTAGGTTTACCAGACATTCTTATCTTACAGAATGATGGGCTTTATTGTCCATTCTTCATTGTGATCTCTGTATTCAGCAAAGTCTTTGCATCCCTCAACATCGATGCCTGCTGCACACCTCAGAGTCGCTGTGTGTGTGCTAATCTAGCATGCTCCCTGCTCTTCTCAGTCTGCTGCAAGGGTGGACCCCTGACTGAACAGCTCTTGCAGGCCACGGGGACTGTGGGTGGCCCCTCTGGAGTGGGTGCATTCTTTGACTATCTGGGCAGCCGTGCTGGGATCCTGACACTGTGCAGTCTGGGCCAGAGTGAAGTGGCTGGGGTCAAGTAATCCTCTTGTAGAGGACTGTTTTCTAAAACTGTCTGCACCAGAGTGACCTCATTTCTGCTCTCCAAACTGGAGCTATTCGCTTGTATTTGTGTATCTCTGGGAATCGTTTCAGCCTTTGTCAGGATGTTCCAAAAAACAGATACTTGCCATCTACCTGGGAAAACTACCCAAAGATCCAGTTAGTAGACTTTGCAATGTTAAGAGATGTGTTCACAAGCATGTTCATTTACAATGTCATAGGGTCACTTCACATCACCAGGCATTTTGTTGCTTCATTCTGAATTGCGGACAATGACAACAATATGGCGTCATTAGAATTTTCGCATACATGGAAATTTAGTCTATTTTTTATGTAAATGGAAGGCTTGACACGTTAACCGGGTGCATCTTACTTTCATTGTGGTTTGAAATGCACTCTCCAATGTTGATTTTTTTTAACCCTGAAATATAAAAATGGTATTGCAGTTCCCCTTTAAAGCTCTACTCATATGCTGTTGAATCTTTAACTGTTCTGGACCTTGGTTTCACACAACCGTTCTAATGCTCATCTGAACCGCTTCTGCTGCAAAATTCCCCTTCCGAACCAGTTACCTTTTTGTATTATTGTCTTGATTGTTTATGTAGCTAGAATAGGCTTTTTCTCAGATGTCACACCAGCTTTCCTTATATTCCTGGTTCTTTTTCACCTTTTCTCCTGGGCATTTTTCCAATAAGTATACACCTCACATGCTGTGACATTTTCAAGTTAATCTTCAGACAGATTCTTGGCTTCTAAGTTTATGTAAAGCACAAAGCATCTCCCAATGTTAAAAGATGAATGCGTTAAGCTCTGAAAGGATTCGATTTCTATGACCCAATGGGAGCATTTGTATGTTACATTATGACTTGTGCTTTGGCTAAACCTCTTTGAAATTGTCATTTTTATCAACTGATCCTTCTTCAGTGCCCTAGGTCAGAGTATTCAAACCATACAGTAATAAGACACCTAAATATAAATGTTATATTTAAAAGTTTTGGATGTACCCTTTAAATTGTTTTGGGAGGGCAACAGTTATGTTAGGAATAACATTAGGTTCAGGAAAGAGCTCATAGGAATGAAATCAGCATCCAATAACCTAACTTTGGAATCTGAAATGAAAAAAAGTTAGGGTAAGTTTTTTTGTGTGCATTTGACTGTTTAGCATGTGATGTGCATTTGAGTGTTTTTCTGTTTTGTCATCTTCACAAAGTGTTCCTGATGCACCTGGGTTGTTTTCATTTGTGGAAAAAAGTTTTTTTTTTCCCCCCATTGTACTCGGTGCTCAAGCAGCCCTGAATTGTTGACTGAAGTTAACAGTCCCCCACAATGCAAGCTGAAACTTTGTTTAGCTTCTCCTAGGAGAATAGCAGCGCTGTGTTTAAAAATCGCTTTCAGATCAATCCAGATGGCAGACCGAAGTGAGTCATACACTAGATATACACCACCCACCACATTTTGTAAAAGGGGAAAGAATCACAGCAAAGACTTCATCAGGAACAATTTACTTGGTAGAAGAGATGAATCTATATGGGACTGTGTGTGATGCTTGAAAAGGAGGAGAGGTAATGGTGATTCCTGCAGTTAGTGATGGAAGTTGAGATGTTTTGTTTTTTCCCTGAATCCCCCAGGCAATCCGTTATCACATCTGCTTGTTTATCAACGTCTTGAAGACTACTGGTCTGTTAGTAGTAGAGAGGTTTTTGAATAGTTTTTATAAACTTTATTTTTTGCTAATTTCAAAGGTGAAACCATGCGCTACCTAGACTGTAACCACAAGGGGAGAGAGGCATTTGTAAATGAACATATCATGCAGCAATCCTTCTGGGAAATAAGCAGCTTTCTGATGAATATTGGAAGGATGCAAACTTTCACAGGCTGCACTGAGTATGTGCCAAAAATCGTTGAATAAGATCTCACCGGTTCTGCCCTTTGTTCTCTGTGGGGCCTGGTTAATGGTAAGTTTACAGCCATTTTTTTTATCTCATTACTTCTTGAGGCAGAGAGCCCTATGTCACAAGGCCGTGCCCAGCAGCAGTCTTAAGTGTTGGGAGAGCTGCAGTATCCTTTCAGCTGCTCTTGCCACAGGACCTGCAACAGCTCTGTCTGTTTTCATGGCCCCCTTGACCATTTATCACCAGCTTTGTCTCATTCTAACCTTCCTAGATGTCCTTGGTGAAATCAGTCCTACTAGAACAACCTAGCCCCCCCCTCAACAGTTCACAGGCTGGAAGTCAGCATGCTGATGTGTTGTGCAGACAGCGGGTACAGGACTTTATCCCACACGGATAGTGGAAACTACATGGAAGTGCATTTTTAAACTGGGAACAGGAGGCGCTTCTGTACACTAAAGGGTGGTTGGAGAATGGATCAAGCTGCTTATCCAGGTTGGTGAAGCTAATACCCTGGCTTCTTTCAAGAAATGACTGGGAGGCATTCATTCTTCCTCATTCCTAGTTCAGCCATCCTGCCACTGCACAAATGTCAACTTGTCAAATGTCCCCCCATCTTGGCACCAGACGCCAAAGGCCACAGCTGCCCCTGCCTAATGCCAGCTGGTTCAGATCTTCTCCTATCCAACCTGCCAGCGCCATTGGCAGGCACTGGTATCAGGTTTGTTGTGTGTCATCCCTACACTTACGTCTACTAGTGTAAAGCAGCCGCCAGTCTTGGTGTTGAAAGTAAAAGAAAAGAAGAATGTGAAGACCTAAATTCCAGTTTTAGATAGGTCACAGACGGGGCTATCTGCAGATTCACTTGACTTTACTGGCTGACAGATTGAGCGGTTACATTTAATATTGATTTATCTTCATGCTCAAGTAAATAAAACACAAATGGTGTTTTTTATGTTTTCATGTGTATGCGCTAGGGTGGCATGCTGGTGCAGTGGTAAGCATTGCTGCCTTGCAAGGCCAGGGCCCTGGGTTCACACAGACAGCACCCCAGGAGTACGTATCTGCGCAGGGTTTGCATGTTTCCCTCATGTGTGTGTGGGTTTCCTTCAACAGTCTAAAGACACACTACACTAGGAGGTGAACTGGCTTCTGTGTGGGTTTCTTCCAGGTGCTGCAGTTTCCTCCCACAGTCCAAAAACATGTGTAGATTGGTTTCTCTGGAAACTTGGTCCCGGTGCGTGTGTGCCCTGTGAAGGACTGGCGTCCGGTCCAGATTGTATCCTGCCTTGTGCCCATTGCTCGCAGGGATATTCTCCAGGTCCTCACAACCAGCATTGGATAAATCAGTTCTCTTATCCAATACATCTGATTCTAAGTAACCCTCTAATTGTGCTAAGAAAACTACACATATTCACATTCACATATTATTTCACATACATTCTTCATTACAAAATGGATTTTTTTCATACATCTTAAAAAAAACCCATTGAATAGGTAAGCTTAAATCCATTTGGACCAGTTTTTATGAAGGGTACTCTGGTAAGAAATAATAATTGCCGTACAAACTTTTCTCAACACTGTACAGTACATTGCATGAAGAAATCCAGTTTGAAATGTTTACCTTTAAGCCCTGGTACAACAACAGTGCCAAAACATGGCCTTCATGCCGTAGAAAGCTGATCTTGCAGCGCCATAAAAAACTCATTTATCAGATATTTTCACAACACTGTATATTTAAATGTCTTGCTTCCTGGATGAGTGACGTTTTATTACCATCTGTGCTCTGTACGCAACAATACAAGCCTCTGGTCAACTGGGATGATAAAGACAGCATGAAGTAACCAACATACATATAGCTGTACATTTACATGCCAGGAAAACATTTGTGGATTTGCCAGATGACGATTCAGAGCTCTAGGCACCTGCTGGCAACAGATGTCTTTTTGCAAAGTGCAAAAGCTTTGGTTCTATAAATGTTCATGTTATCTAATGCCAACTGTCTGATCACCAGCGTGCCTGCCAGTTACAATACCTTGGATTCTGCATTTTCCATGTCCGGAAATATGTCCTGGGAGGCACGTTCAAAGGGGCTTTGGATTAGAAATAGTTTTTACTGCCCTTCTCTATGCTGTCATACAACACATTTCCTAAAATTGTTATCCTATGTTCTGCATTCTGTGGGTCTTGTTCTTAAATTTATAACAAAGTTCGAAGCAGAGGCTCAGCAATTCAGTTA